TTTCACAACGAAAGTGGAAAAGGGCTGAGAACAGGGTTCTAAGTAGTACATCAACAGGCCCAGATGGCATTGCAATTATGCTGATTATTGAACACAGAATTGCGAAATGTCCATTGGAAACAGCGTGTTCTTAAATGTCACAGCCTTAAATTAGTCATTATATGCCGCTGTATCGCATGATAACAAACTAGCAGCTGGCAACCATTGCCCATGCGGCACCATTTTTTTATAGTCAAGTGGCCAAGCCATTCCGAGCCAACTGACTGTCAAAATGGCAGCGGCGGCCCTGTCAGAGAAGGTGCAGTGAACTAGTGAAGGTTCGTGTCCTTTGTTGTTTGTGTGCATGGTTAAAAGTAAGATATGTGTGAGAGTGTAAGTCGTAGGTAATGACGGTAGGTAAATTGCCGTGTTGATGGGTGCACTGGGCTGCTCAACGTTCAGACTGATCATGGATGCATTGTCACCAGCCGACCGCGGCGAGGTGTGGTTCGAAGCAGCCTGGAACAACAGACAATCGCGATCGATTGGGCTTCAAAGCAGCCTGGTCCTAACGTGAAAGGATCGACTTCTGCATCTGACACATGGCCCGATTTCGGGCAAGTCAAGTCAACGCCCATGTCGAGTGCACTGATAGACTGTCAGAGCGGAGCCTCTAATTCTAGTGAGTGCATTGGGCGCGATACACGTGGTGATAAGGACACTGTTGACTGCCTTGATACTGCTTTTCTTTTTTTCAGACTATACGCGTACTCGAATGCCTGACAAAGCTGTCAGTTGTGATTAATTACTGTTAAATAAATAAATTTCATTCAACAAGCTTTGTTTGTTTTACTCTAATAGTCCAGCACTGTCACCTCTCTGTTGATTGATACAGTATATATACTCGAGACCTCGCAGGTGTTTTTCTTTTGATGTATGAAAATATCATGAAAAGAAGTAAATCATAAGTAGTATCACTGCCCACAGTACCGAACCGGCCACGCTATCGTTCTGAAAAGATACTGAAAAAGTCCTGAATTGTTGTTTTGAGGATGTGCTGAGGTTGTTATGTGTATGGACAAGGGGACGGGATTAGCGCCTCTCTAGTACCGTAAGAGGACATTCTGAGGGCGTCATATTGTCCTCGCGGAGGCATACTGAGGACGTCCTGAGGTTGTGTTTGTGTTGTCTGGGGAAGGTAGACAAAGCTGACATAAACAACTACCGTCCTATAACAGTGACATCAGTGGTCTACAGGCTGGTAATACAGATTATAGAGGAAAGACTGCAGGCATGGATAGAGGATGAGGGGGTGCTGAGGGAACTGTAGAATGGGTTTCGGAAACACAGGAGGTTGCAAGACAATCTGTTCTCACTGACGCAGTGCATCGAAATAGCAGAAAAAAAAAAAAAAAAACTCAGGCCCCTATTTTTGGATATCAATTAAGGGAGCGTACGATAGTTTAGTTCAAGAGGACTTTTGGGGAATATTGGACACACTAGGTGTAGAAGATGTAGTCACTAATCTTCTAAAGGATATCTATAAAGGTAACAAGGTAGTTATAAAGTGGGAAAAACAAGTGTTCAAGCCTGCAGAGGTAAAACGGAGGCTTACGCAGGGGTGTCCTCTGTCACCCTTGTTATTCATGATGTACCTACAAGGATTAGAGGCCAAATTAGAGGGAAGTGGACTGGGCTTCAACCTCGCTTTTGTCAAACAAGGAAAACTCATTGAACAGGCACTATTAGCATTGATGTATGCAGATGATATAGTGCTAATGACCGACAACAAGGAAGATTTGCAGAGATTGGTGGACATCTGCGGTAATGATGGAGATAGGTTATATTTCAGATTCAGTAAGGAAAAACCAGCAGTCATAATTTTTAATGATAATGAAGGTAGTGAGCTTAGAATATAAGAGGCCACGCTAGAGATAACAGATAAATACAAATATCTGGGCGTATGGATAAGCAATGGGACCGAATACCTAAGGGAACACGAAATATACATGACCACAAAAGGTAACAGGAATGCACAAGTAATGAAAAATAGTGCACTGTGGCATTACAATAGGTATGATGTTGTGAGAGGAATATGGATAGGGGTCATGGTTCCTAGTCTGACGTTCAGCAATGCGGCCTTGTGCATGAGATCAGAAGTACAAGCAAGATTAGAAATTAAGCAACGTGGAATAGGTAGGCTTGCTTTAGGAGCTCATGGGAATACACCTAATCAGGGAGTACAAGGTGATATATGGGATGGACATCATTTGAGGGCAGGGAAGCTAGCAGCAAGATAAAATTTGAGATGCGATTGAGAGAAATGGGGGAGGAGCGTTGGGCTAGGAAGGTTTTCAGCTAAGAATGTCGATACAAAATGGAGGAAGCGAACCAGGATATTGACTAGTAAATACTTAAAAAAACGGCAGGGGGTCAAACCAAAAATAATTATCGGTTAAGAAGAAGGTGAAAGAAGCTGAGACTGATATGTGGAGAATTGGCAAGATTAAGAAGTCCGCACTAGAGATCCATCGAACTTTTAAGCAGGAAATTGCCAAGGAGAGGATCTATGATCATACCCGGGGTAGTTCGAATTGTTTGACGCCAGGACGGGAGTATTGCGAACCAAGACATATCGGGCCAAGTACGAAGGGGTAGACACGGTATGCAGTGCATGTGGAGAGGAGGAGGAAACTGCCGAACACTTGATAATGATCTGTAAAGGGCTTCACCCTATAGTTCAGGTTGATGGCACAGAATTTTTCAAAGCACTGGGGTTTAGGGACAGGGAGGGCAAAATAGACATTAAGAGGGTAGAATTAACTAGAAGAAGGTTGTCTGAATGGTGGCTAAAGTCAAGGCTAGAGTGAAAATTAAACCGTTCACTGCAAAGTACGATTCCTCAACATGACTATTTAAAGGGAAAAAAAAAGATAAATCTAGTGGTTAGTTCACTAAGTATTACGGCTAGATGGCGTTAGCCATCACCTGATATAAAGTAAAGGCTTTAATCTAAAGGGTACAGCCAAAACTGGTAGGTGTTCTGTGGTAGAGCCACATACATCCATCCATTTATCCATCTAAATGTGCGGAAACGGAAACACTTTTCGTGCGTACGTCTACGTCGTACGAAAAGCTGGGAGGACTTCCTGTCGCCGGTGACCGGTCCTTTTCGCTCAGCAACCGTCGCGTGTGCCGGTAGCCTCCGTCCCACTCCTCCCGTGCGAAGCAACAGAACTCGTCAAAGATGGCCCACCGTGAGCGTACCTTCATTATGGTCAAGCCTGATGGCGTCCAGCGTGGTTTGGTCGGCGAAATCATCCAGCGTTTCGAAAGGCGCGGCTACAAGCTCGTCGCCATGAAGTTCATGCAGGCCGACGAGAAGCTTCTCCAGCAGCACTACTCGGACCTGGCGGGCCGCCCCTTCTTCAATGGCCTCGTCAAGTTCATGCAGAGTGGTCCCGTGGTCCCTATGGTCTGGGAAGGCACCAACGTCGTCCTCACCGGTCGTGACATGATCGGTGCCACCAACCCGCTGGAGTCCAAGCCCGGCACCATTCGCGGCGACCTCTGCGTTCAGGTGGGCCGTAACATCGTACACGGCAGCGACTCCGTCGCCAGCGCCGAAAAGGAAATCGCGCTGTGGTTCAAGGAGAGCGAACTCGTCTGTTGGAAGCCCCAGATTGAGCCATGCGTGTACGAATGAAGTTCAAACTGTACAACACCACCTAGATCGCACTGTTGTTTGACGTAATATTTTTCTACACGCACCTCCTTCACATTGACGAGAAAATAAACCGACCGCCTCTGCCTGGGGTCGGGACGGGAACGACTGGAGTCTGTGTCACTTCATTTTGCTCCGCCTCGCGCCTTTCACTGTTTATTCTGCCGTACGTACCTGAAGTAGCGACCACTACCAAACGGTTGTGCAGGGCGTACTTCACTTATTTGCAGTAGGTGTTCTCTGGTAGTTGCATTAGAAAACCGTTGACAAGGAATGAGTGGCTACAACGTGCTCGACACGCTTGCGAGTCGCACCGGCCACATGTCACGTTTTTAGTCTTGTAAGCCGCGTGCGTAACTCGACGAAAAGTGGCCGGTGTATTAATAGCGCTGCGGCATACGGATTGACTAAATCATCAAGTGTCCTCGTTTCGGAAAAAGAAGCTCGCGTGACAAGATGGGAGTGGCTTAACTGAGACACGGCACGCAGGGTGTCAATTTTGGCGGCTTCGCGCTGCGTGGCGAAGCCTCTCCTTGCACTTGCCACGCGTCACTTTATGTTAGTAGCCCCCGTGCGATGAGCGCTATTTGCAGCGCCCTTGAGTCTAAAACACAAAAGCAGGCTAGTTGCATTCCATTCGCTGCAATTTCGCCAAAGTTGACATGACCTTGGCACCGATCGTGAACGGGATCAAGTACTATTCCCAATTTAATCTACGCGGCTTCCTCAGTTTGACCCGTACTCTTGGTGATCATTTGTGCCCACATGTAGATGTCAAAATTAGGCATCGTTTACACCTATTTTCATAAATTTATCCTTAGTCGTCGTACGTTGACCTACAAGGAGCAAATGGAACAAGAATACTACTTTATGCATTATTATGCTAAATTTAGAACAGTCCATTTTTCAATGATTGGTGTCTATATTCATGGAATGGAAATATTCTGGTTCGGCAACGGCAGCACGTTCATTTATAATTTTTTTTAACACTTGTCACTGAGCGAACTGAAATGTCAGACGCCAAGCATCTTTTAGACAGTGCATCTGTAAGAGGGTGGCATCATACTGTCCTTCAATTTATTCCTTCTTTCGCGCCAAAGATGATGCTGTGCAATCTTTGCATAAAAAAAAAAAGCACCCGTTTTCACACGGGGCAGTCACAATAACAAGTTTGCCAAAAAAATAAAGAAAAGTCGAGCAGTAAGCGGGGTCCTAAACTGCTTCTGAAGATGGCCACAAAAGCTTGAGATTTAGTTGCCTTTGTGACCAAGAGCACCATGCTTAGGTAAGCAACTGCTGCAAGTTGAAATAGTTGCAGTGCTGACTAACAACTCAAGTTTATTGAAGGGATACAATGCACCATGAAAGATACATAACAATGAAGAGGCAATAAAACCACAAAAATAATTGCCAGATTTGGTCCACAATCTACGAGTGTGACATCTGCTGCTCTCACCAAAAAAAGAACTCTTGTCTTATACTGAATAGTCATAGATGATGAAGGCAATTGTTTTGTTTTTATTGTTGTTTCTTTGTCATGCCTCCATTTAATCTGTTGTATCTTGTAAATAAATTTCTCTTAGCACTTTGTCTCTTCTGCCTGCCTTTTTTTTTCTTTTTGCGCTGTAGCTACTTCAACAAGAACAACCAACTGCTTAATACAACAGATTTGTCCCGTAAACATCCGTTCACTGCAGATTTACACTGCTTATTCTCTACCTTGTGCAGCACAAAACAAGTGAGAGCTTTACATTCATGGCTGTAAGGGTCCTTGTGTTGATGTTTAGGGCTAATGCTTAAACCCAGAACAAACATTTATTCTTGAGCGGGAACACGTCAGGCAGAATTCCTGACAGGCACTTGGCTTCCAGCAAGGGCATTGGCTGCCAGCCTTTCCTGTAAAAGTTCAATGACCTCTCGGCCTTCGGGCGTGGCCACAACCGAGCCTTCGTTGATGGCTCGCTGAAGCAAGGCTTCCCAGTAGCCGCACTTCTTCAGGAACTGGTATGTGCTGCAACAGTTCAGTCATAGCATGTTCTTTGTCAAAATGTACAAAAAAAATCAAGCTTTGATTCAATTGATAGGCACATGTGCCGAGTGCAGTGCTTGCAGTGATGTAAGTGCTGCTCCAAAAGAGAATCGCTGTTCCGAACAGTAATTTTTGTTAGTAATTGCCCAGAAATGACACTGAGAGAATGAGAATGACAAACTTTTACTGTTTCACCAACTCTCAAGCTCTAAGAAACTGAAAATAATCTGTGTACTATCATCCCAGTGTGCTACTATAGTGTGCAGCATTATCGGCTCTGATCTCATTTGTGCGACAAAGAAATGGCATACTAGGCATATAGCTCATTTGGCTGTTTTTTTTTCTTAGCTAGACATGCATGCTAATGTGGTGAAGTGTGAAAATAAGTACGATTGCTTTTATCTCACACCGATTTTCTACTGCTTTTTTCACAACAGTTGTATGGTACTGTGGTTATTTCAAAAATGTGGCACTCAGCTTTTGGGGTTTGATTTGATTTCTGCCACAAATACTAATATTTTTTTTAATTGTAGCTCATTTCACAGTACATTTTGACCACCTGCCATTGTGTGCTACATGAAATTGACATTGATTGTTGTTAGTTAAAAATATTAGTTAGCGCAATGCTCTGAACTCCAAATAATGTAAGGCAAATTTCCTATCTGCTCCTAAAACACCTATTGAATAGCTGCTCTGAACAAGCATTTTTTTTTGCTCCAAAAATAGTTTGGCTGCTCTACAGCAGTACTCTTCCTGCTTCAAAAAGCACTTCCATCACTGTGCTTGACCTGTACCGTGTAAAAGCCATTTGGATGCTTCTGCAGGTGCATCTAGCCAGTGTGCATGTGACACAGGTGCGAGGGCTCCTGAACCCCTTTTCAAAGTAACTATCGAGTGGATTTGGTATTGGAGTCTCAATTGTTGGAAAAATTTCTTGCATCACGCCATGACCTTGAGTGAATGTGATGAAATGTAACCTTCCTCTTGTGCACGCTAAATGTGATTTTGTAATGTTATTAGCAACTTATGGAGCACCACATCGTGGCACTCTGTGGCAAGAAGTTCATCTTATGGGGAAACGAGGGCCCTAAAATAGCAAGAAAGTGTAAAAAATGACCTCCCCCCAAATTTTGGAAATCACAATTTCAAAGTGATTTCAATATTATACAATGGCAACATGGCCTTTGTTGTTCTTGCAGACAGAACAGATTAAATTAAAGATGTTTTTAAATTTTCAAATATGATTTCCTTTGTTTTGTCATATTTGCAAAGTTAACCTGCCCTATGAAACTAAGAGGTTTTTGTGAATGTATTTAAACAAACTTTTCCGCAGCACTTGAAGTAAAAGCCACAGCTTTTCTTTTTTTCTGAAACTTGATACAATTGCAATTATTTCACAAGTGCCAACTAATTACAGGAAGCTAAGTTTTACCTTCCAAGATTGAAAATTAATTCAGATCAAAAAAGTCACTGTTTCGACATTTAATTTGCTTTAGCCTGTGAGGCGGCCATTTAAAAAAAATCATGTCATGCCTAAGAGCAACTTTTTGTATTGTAAGTAGCCATAATGACCCATGAGACATTACAAAATTAAAATGTGGCAATTAGTAATTTACAACTCTCTAAATGAGATATGCAAAATCAGTTTTTGATGATTTAAAGTCTTCATTCAATGATACACATGCATGGTAATATGCATTAGGATAGGATAATAAATCAAAAAATTGTTTTTTTCAAGACCTCCTTATTCAAATGTTTCTGTTGGTTTGTATCACCTATTGGCCAACATCTATTGTACGATGCAAACAACAGGTGCCAAGAGCTCCAATGAGAGTGAGCACAGGCCTCTGTATGAAAGGAGGGAGAAAAGGGGCATCCTTGCGCTCTGCTTCTAAACACTCCTTTCTGTGCACAATTGCAAGACTTGGCTGAGCTGCCCATAGCAATGTCTGCTTTCTGCAGGATGAGTTTTTGCACTGAGCAGGCATTCATGTGAAGGCAGGAGGGGCCCCGTCCTCATCAGTGGGTGGCCTCTGCTACCAAAAAAAATAGTTCTTCTCATGTACTCGGCGATGTTCTCTAAGTTAAGGGCCACCAACCGTGTGCCATATGTAATCAGTCGAAAGCACACATTCATTGGTGCAGACTTGTGTGCTACGTTCCAAAGCAGTACTCAACTATAAATATGAAGCAAGCACAAGTCGCTTTGTGAGTACTGATACACCAACAAAATGTGTACAGACTTCGATATAGAAGTGGAACAACATACTATGGCATACAAGCACAGCAACACTTCAGTGCCGCTCTGAAGCAAGCGGAATATAGCTGCTTACTTGAACAGGGCATAGTGGTCGTTTTCTGCCTCTTTTACAAGTCGCTTCACAAGGTTCAGGTTCTGGATGGTCTGCAGCAACAAAGCAAAATACACAGTGGCAGTGAAAACACGTTTCTTACCTTTCATTTTTGATAATTATGGGAAAGCCTTAATTGTGGTACTGATATTACTCATCCCTTGGGGCATTCCAACTATGCTAACAGGTAATGTTAGCATAGTTGGAATGCCCCAAGGAATGCCTCGAGCGTGCTAACATCAGAAAGATGAGGACAATTAAGGTTGCAGGTGGACTCGTAGCATGCGGCAGCCGCTGGTAGCAGGCAGTTGCAACTCGGGTGTCGATCAGTAAACATAGTTTCTGTCGGTTTCCGTCTCTCTCCTGAGGGGTTCTCAGGCTAGCTTCAGCCTCAAACCCCTACATTTGGCGCCCAATGGGAAGAACCTCACCCCTGGACTACGGACATTGAGGCAGTCTGCAACAATGGATCTGACGCCTTTGACTGTGCCCACCTTTTCCGGCAAAGATGTGAGGGAATCGGCCATCGATTTCATTGACGACCTTTTCGTATACTCGAGTGTTAGCGCGTTCTTGGAGTCCGACGTGCTCCAGCGGTTTTGAGTAGTTGCCCTGCGCAGTGCTGCAGAACGATGGCGGCATCTTCAACCTTCCTTTCAGTCCTGGAACCAGTTCATCGTGGCATTCCAGAAAGACTTCCTACCGGTCGCCTAGGACTACCGTATTCGGCGTGAGCTTGACGCCCGAACACAACACCCAGACGAGGGTCTGGGTCACTGTGTTCGGGCTGTGCAGGAGCTCTTCCATTGGGCAAATCCCAATGCTTGTGAGATCGTGAAAGTCTCCCACATTAGTCGGCGGTGCCACACCCTTTTCCAGCTTCTTCCCTTCCCTCAAGGAGCTTGCCAGCTTTGCTCAGAAAGTTGAGGAAGCAGTCTTTCGGGAGCACCACTACGAGCCACCACTTTCTGACGGTCCCCTCGGGCCCCCTTGTGCCTCACCATCTGCCTCGGCCTCACGACTACGAGCGAGCGACCCTTGCTACAAGCTGATACGAGCATGATACGAACGAGCTCTCAGGTGCCTTAGTACAAAGCTGTCTCCTCTGGCCATGGCGATCATTTCGGAGAAGGAAGGCGAGTTCCAGGAAGGTGATAAAGAGACCGGTGAGTGTCAGACCAGTGAGCGAAACGTCGCCACGGTAGGCGTGGCAGCGGACACCACATCAAAGGACAACGTGAGGCAACTCAACGCTGTGGCCAGAGAAGATGCTGTCGATGGCACTAATGGTGCCTTTGAGAAAAGAAAAAAAAAAAGAAAAAGAAAAAAAAAATCACCATTACGTGCAGCGCATCGATGTGGAGGTGGAAGATGACAACCACAATAGCGCTGCCGAGGAGGAGGACTTTATGCCTGCTGAGACCGAAAAACACGCTGATGGGAACCTGGACAGCGCTGCAGACACAGAGGTGGGCGATGAGGCGGCTCTGGAGGACGAAAAAAGGGGCACGGACGACGGTGCGGGGAATGTGAACGGTGAGGAGTTCATAGAGGTAGAGGAGGAGTTCGTGAAGGCAGAGTCCGAAGATTTTCAGGAAGGCAAAGGAGAGGCCGAAGAGTTTCAGAATTATGAAGAGTAGGTTAGAAGGCACAATGATGAAGTTGTGGAGGAGTCGCAGGACCCAAAAGACGCTGTGGCGTTTCGGGATTGTGAGAAGAAGATCGCTGAGGAGGACGCCGCAGAAGGCGGTGCGAAGGGAGAGACCGTTGAAAACTGGGAAGCAGCTGTGGACGGTGACATCGAGTATTACAAGGACGGGGACGGCATGCAGTATGGGAGCGGCGGCCGCGAGCGTGCCGACATCAGAAAGAAGAGGACAATGACAGTTGCGGGTGCGCTCGTAGCATCCATCCGAAGTGGATCCGAAGCCTGTACTTCCTATAATTCCCATGGGGGTACAAGTGCCGCTGAAGGAGCCAGTAGTTGCACGCGGCAGCCGCTGGCAGCGGATAGTTACGGCCCGGTTTCCAATCAGTAAACATGGTTTCTGCAGGTCGCCGCCTCTTCCCTGAGGGGTTCTCGGGCTAGTCTCAGCCTCACACCTCTACAAAGTTTACAGTAAGGAAATGGTGAACAGAAAATGGTAACTTTTTGTACTAAGGATATGTTTACATGGTCTAGCTTTCACAACATGCACATTTGAACATTGTTAAATTGTTGACGCATTATTTTGGCTAACACATAAATATGTTTGTTATATATGACATGTTTACAACTGTACATACAGTGTCTGTGAGAAAAATAAAACTGATCGAGACAGCAACAAGCAGTTTGTAGCGTCCTGAAATTTTGCATTATTGCAGTCAAAATAAAATCTAGAAAATGTGGTTGCAAGTGGTAAAAGAAGGGTCAATTGGCAGATACTTTTTTGTTACTTCGTTTATGCATACTCACACGAATCTTGAATCCCTCAACAATGCGCCGAAGAATCAGTGGTCCGTCGTCTCTGGACTTGACTAGCCGAGCAGCCCAACACTGGCAGAATGGTGAGGCCTCTACAATGAGGCAACAACAAGATACAACAGTGGTTTCCTCAGCTTCTGTGAAATCAAGGACCAGTTGACCGGCAATGAATTGCAATAGCTTGTTCATTTAACCTAAACGTACACTACTTGTGCAACCTTTGGCCCCATGGAGATAAAATTATTTTTAATAAAATGTTGACAAATGCTGAACATTTCACTTCTCAAGGTCAACAAGAACGCACCCATGCACAAGAAAAAACACTTTGCTAATTTTTCTTGGCGGACTTTTATCCGCATGCCCAGTTCAGTTTCTTAAAAGCTTGTTGTTGGGCTGATTGGTGCATATTAGAAGAAAATTAGATGATGCAAACCACTACGGAGGAATAGGCAAAAGGGTCAACTTGCAACTAACTTTATTCATTACTCTTCTCCGGTGATTTGCATTGTCTAATTTTCTTGCAACAGTTCTTTAATCCTTGAAACAGGATTTTTAGCACAGCTGATACCTATTTCACGACAAAGGATGCACAGTTATCAGTGGTACCAGTAAAAATAAATTTATCCTACACTCTCGCACATTCAATGCTAACAACTAATGGCGAATTGCACTAGGAGAGCACTCAAAAGCACGCTGAAAGTGCTCTCTTTGGAGCCGGCGTGTTTCAGTGGTCGAACAGGAGCACTGCCATCCTCTGGTAGAGTGCTTTTGCTGTGCCGAGAGGAGCCAGGAACAGATTGCAGTGCTCTCGCCTGAATAGCGGAGTAGGCCCAGTGCGACGAGTCACGTGGCCTTTCAACGTCACAGTCTCCGAGTTTTTGTCCAGCCGGCGAGTGCGGTGGCATTGGTGACAACCATAGAGTTTCATAGAAGAATACCTAGAGGGCAATTTGGCGCTAGTGTCTACGGGCTCCTTTAGCGGCACTTGTACCACCATGGGAATTATAGGAAGTACAGGCTTAGGATCCACTTCGGATGGATTACGTTCTTGAAACTCGCGATGCTTCTAATCCGAGTGATATGAGGTCATTTTTAATTGAAGCTTGCTTCATTTGTTTGTACGCAAACTTAATTGCAAAAATTTCTTGTGACGATGCGGCAAAAATGACACCTGGGCAAATTTACCCATCAGGGTATGCACTGCTATGCCATTGTGTTCCAGATTTGGCATCAAGATTCAATTATTCAAGACAATAGTCTTTTTTGGGACCTTCAACGCAAAAATTTTGGTCTGTCTGTCTGTCTGTCTGTCTGTACATTTGTCTGTCTGTCCACTCTTAACGGCACCGGGTACTTGAAACGGCCAATTCCATCTGCAGCGTCCACCAATGTTGCTCAAGATTTAGTGTTCATACTTGTGCAATGGTCAATTAAAAAGCAATTATTGCACATGTCTGGGGCACCATCACAACACGTATATATTGTGCATGTGCGTTTTTTACTAGAAAAGGCATACATAAGTAATTTTAAGAACCGTAGCACTTATCACGCTGCGCTGACCATGCAATGCCTGCACGAAAAGGCTAGTATTTCCAACGGTTTGCTAAGATGAGACGGTGGTGGCACCTACCCGTCGCCTTGCGTTCTACTGCTTATCACCTCTGAGACGGGCGTGCACACCCGTCTCAGAGCCACGTGCTTCGTTTTTCAAAAAAAACAAACTGCCAGATGGCGCTCATGTCTCTAGGGTTACGTGCCTTGATGCGCTCGTTCGCCTACGCTGTGCGCTCGAGGCATTCTAAAACGCAGCACCTCCAGAACACCATTCACCGATTTTCTTGCGCAGACCATCAAATAAATGTTTTGTTCACTTTCTCCACAAGCAAGACTATAGTCTTTTGACAACATTTGCAGATTAACATGTAGATACAGGGCCATTTTTTAATTTTTTGTAACACTTGAAAACACGCATGCTTGATTTTCTCTGGAAAGTACACGTTTTCTATTTAATAGACATAACAGTACAGTATTAGGTAAGAAACACTTAACACTTCATCTTCTGCAATGCTAGGTGTATCTGTCCAAGTGATCTGCCCCAACCCACCTGTGGTATGTTGTGAAATCGAGTAAGCGGAGCGTGACAATGCATCTACTTAGCTTCGTCATCGTTTTACAGCCGATTTAAAATGAATTTAGACAAGAAACGTTCGTGAAAAAGCATTACCTCAATGCAATTTCCTGCACTGGCATAGAACCCTACATCTAAGCGCAGCGGTGAGTGGACGACGCTCCGTTTGAATTTTCAATTATTACTCATAAAAGTTCAACGTCTCAGCGAATTACAGACTTTGTGTTCTTAAGCCTCTTTGAACAACAATGGTGCTGCTTAAGTGCTTTTCATCAAACCCCACTACTCGTGCTGCCCAAAGAACAAAACGGAAACTGTACGTGTAGACAATTCACTAGGTAACCTTATCCAAACCAAAGCCTGTACTTTCCGTAATTCCCATTTCTCTCTAGGTATTATTGTATGAAACTCTATGCTAGCAACTATGTGTAGCTTGAAACCACAGTTCCGCTGCTTTGTACGGTTAGTGACGATGAGAGCTGGACATCTGCCGAATGCGTCATTGCGCAAGCACACTATGTATTGGGATATTGATGATTAAGTGGCTGACCACTTGTTCATCAATCAGTATTTTGGTGCTGCCCCACAGAGAATACGCCGGGGTTTGGAATGTTTGATGATTGATATGTCGGGTGTAACGTCCCAAAACCACCATATGATTATGGGAGACTCCGTAGTAGAGGGCTCCGGAAATTCCGAACACCTGGGTTTCTTTAACCTGCACCCAAATCTGAGAACATAGGTCTACAGCATTTTCGCCTCCATCGAAAATGCAGCCGCCGCAGCCGGGATTCGATCTTGTGACCTGCGAGATAGCAGCCGAGTGCCTTAGCCACTAGAGCACCACGGCAGGGCGCTTGTAATGTTTCGACCACATGGTCTTCCCACACGTCACCCTCTCACCTGCTCTCCGGGGGCGTGCCGCATTCCAGTGGCAGATCGAGCAGCCCTGCACCGAGTGTTCTGCCTCCCACTCCTTACTGACCTGCTCCTATACTCCTGTTCTCTCAATAGAATCCGCCACAAGGCAGAAATAAAACAACATTATCTACTGCTTCAACCAATACATTTGCAGTGGTGTGATCGACTGAATGCACTCCGCCACAGCTTCTGGAGCCGCTAAAATCTGGCTTTGGAGGTGCATAACCTTTCAGAGCAATAACCAAGTAAACATTTTCTAACACAAATATTTGTCTCCAAGCTTGATCAGTTGTGCTACATGTTTAACAAAATCATTAATGAACAAATACATGCATCTTTGTTTTGAATATCCCAGCACCAATGACAGCACCAATTTTATTTGAAGCCATGGCATCTGTCTGGCAGAATAGTGCCAGAATCCACCCCATATTTCTTAATCAATATGACTTCTCGTGATGTTTGAGGAGGTGCTAACACTCCCTGTAAGGTTGTTTGCACCTCGTGACGCACGTGTCTTGCGCAGAAGCCGCATTCATGGGTCGCAACTATTGCGTTGTAAATGGCGATGTGCTCGCGAGCATTTATAACCATCATCATCATGGTATAGCGTCTACGGTGACACCTGGGGGAAAGCCTGGTTTGCGGCACACCAGAAAGAAGCGGGTCTTTTTGACGAGTGGCGGTCGGCGCCAATGGTTGTCTCTCGCAAGGGTGTGCGGCACCGCTGGTTGCGCAACCAGGGGCTCTTGTGGCGAGTCGAGCGTTGGCGAAAGGGTGTTGCGTGTGTTCTTGTGTTTGTCATGTTGTTGAGCATTGTGTACTATTGTGTAGGGTTGTTTATTGCGTGGATCACAATTAATGTTATAATAATTCGGCTGACAATATTATCAATCAAAAGTAGTTAAATATGTGTTGTTTGGTTTGTTCCGACCGCGTATTCTGTGTTCGTCCGTTCACTCCAAGAGCGTGTTGGCGCTTTCCTCCACCAAACCCCACATGTTTCAGTCGCAGTAGTGCAAGCACAATCTGTCTTTGATTTTTATGCACTCTGTTTACTATTTGAAAAGACTATTCTAATGATGCTCGTACTTCATTAACGACCCAGGGCATTACTGCTTGAGGTTTTGCTTTATGAAGGGAATCGCGAGGATCCCAGTTTTTGGAAACCCTGAAATGTGATTTCTGCTCCATAAAGTTTGTGGTAATGCTAGGTATCTTATTCAACTTCAGCAAGTTTACAAACATGAACTGTTGCTGCATTTGGAACTGAGGTACCGGAATGCTGAGACAGTTCACTGCAGCGAGTGGTATTGTTGATAAAATTAGGCAATTCGTCAGACACAACCCATTAATTAAGCATTGATGTGAAACTCTATCAGAACAAGTGGCATGAAAAAAAAATGACTAACAAAACAGTTTATTCAAGCACATACATGTACACTCAAACCTGATAATAACAAAGTAGCATCTGCTACAAAAATACTCCGTTATGTCAGAAAATTCGTTATAAGCATATATTCGTAACACTATGACAAAACTACTCTTCATTTTGTTATAATAAATAATTCGTTATGCGTATGCTTGTTATATCTAAATTTGAGTTGTGGGAGTGCCGACAGTCCCTGTGAAGTTGTTTGCCCTGCGTGGTGCATGTGGCTCGCATAGAAGCCATATTTCGGTGGTGACAATCGACGGGCGATAGATGGCATTGTGTTCGCCTTTAGTACAGCTGTTGGTAGAGTGGTAGCGCCGGCGGTGACCCCTGGCGGAGGGCAGGCCTCAGTGGCGGGCGAGAGTTGAGCGAGCTCTTCTGCGCGTGGTGGCTTCCGCGAATGGTTGTCTCTAGCGTGGGTCCTCGGCGCATGGCACCACGGGCCTGTGCACCGGGGGGGGGGGGGGGGGGGGGGGGGGGGGGGGGCCCGCATGGTAAGTCAAGCGTTGGCGACGCCGCCTTGGGTGTATTTTGTGTTTGTCATGTTTTGGAGTGTATAGTAATATTGTGTACGGATGTCCTATCCTATTAATTACGATTGACGTATCATT